CAGGGGATGATATGTTTCGACAAATTCAACAGTTACCCAATATACTATTTGAGAAGCCATTCCAAAGGTAGGTGATCAAAGGATTTGATAATTGGCATAACTAGGTTAAAAGGAGCATCATTTGGGGGCTTCCTTATTAGAACATAAATTTAATTCGTCATAATCTAAATGTAATGTATTGTGAAAAAAAAAAAACTTCTTTGATAATATCTTTCACACCATCATGGATGACCTATTGATGAAGGACAATTTAAAGGCAATGATGGATATGGAATTGCATTACAACAAACCAAGTCTTTGTATACTAGAAAGAGGCTCTAATGCGAATAAAAAACCAAAAGCCACTTATGTCTTAAACAGGGAGCAAAGAAAATCGATATACCAATGGCTAAAAAATCTTAAATTTCTTGATGGTTTTGCATCCAACATCTCTCAGTGTGTGAATAAGCAAGAGGCAAAAGTTAGCAGGATGAAGAGTTATGATTGCCACGTATTCATGCAAAGTCTCCTTCCAATTGTATTCTGTGATTTTCTCTCAAAACAAGTTTGGGAGGTATTTATCGAGATCAGTGAATTTTTCAAAACCTTATGTTCTCTAACCATTCGTATTACAGATATAGAGATTTGGCATATTAAAATTGTAGAAACAATATGCTAACTTGAAAGAATCTTCCCTCTTTTTTTTGATTCAATGGAGCATCTATCAATCTACCTTCCATATGAAGCCAAGGTGGGGGAAGCTAAGGTGTGGATGAGAGGCTGGCACATGGCAGAATGTGGCTGAGCCTCCTAGGTTATTGGTAATGAAACAGATGCATCTTGGATATATGTACATAGAAATTGCTCATATGGAATCAATGAAGCTTGATATCGATGTGTAACAGTAGTAAAGGATTTTATAGTAATCAATCAGAACTCAAATAGTTTATTCTGATTATACTTGATGTGTACTCATGGTTTTGAAGTAAAATATAGCATTAGGTTTGATGCAGTTTCTCTTCAATTGACTATTTTCATTTGCTTACAGGCATATGAACTTGTTCAGCCGGTTCCGGTAAGTTTTATATTAGATTTTTGCACAAATTCCTCAAAGAAATGTTTGTAGCTTTGCTGAAAGATTCCATACACAGGTCAAATGGAGTTCAATGATAGACAAGTCAGTACCAGATACGCCAATGGCTGTTCTGCATGGTATTCTGGGTAGCCGAGAAAACTGGGATAGGCATTTTCATATTATGTTTGTATGAAGCTGGTGATATTAATTTATCCATCCTAAAGTGTTAGTAGAACATAAGTTATGCACCTTTGATAGTTGATGCAGAAAGAGCCTTCCTCCTACATCAACTTAATAGTTGGTTCATAAATAAATACATTGGGGGATTCTATGCCCTTCTTTCCAGTATGTTTTATCAGCTTTTTTCTTATTACACGAACTTTTGCTCAGAGATTGGCAAGAGAATTTCCAACTCGGCAGGTATTTTATATTCTACTTGGGTGTACGTATTTCTTTCATTTTTCTTTTAATTTTACAATTTTTCATTAACCCTTGGGATTATAGGGTTTAGATTGTAAAATTGTAATTTGTACTTAGAGCAACTTGGCATACATATGAGTGGATGACTTATGTGTTTAGCGTCACTGTATTTTATTTCTTGAGTTCTTTCTACTTTCGTTGTAATGTTTACTCATATTTCCAGTCATTTCTGCCCATACTGAATCCCAAAAACCAATTTTGTTTGTGAAACCGCACAAAATCTCATTTCGCTAATATTTCTGTTGGTGCAGTTTCTATTAGTAGATTTGATGTGCCATGGTGGTTCAGCATCAATCAAGAAGAGGGCTCCACACACTGTTGCCTCAACTGCTTCGGATGTGCTATAGCTAGTATGCTATTCTTGGGCCTCATTATTAGTTGCATATCTTTCTGCATGATCTTTTAATTTTTCACTCTGTATGCTTTTGCATAGGGTTGATTGCAAGAGTTGTAAAGCAGTATTTACTATATTTGATTCATATTTATCTTAGGCAATTTTGATTCATATTCATCTAGCCAAATACGCCCTTAAGAAGCTCCAGTGCTTTCCTTAAATCAGAAGTTGGGTGAAGCAATTTGACATTCCTTTCCTAGTATTTGATGACAATAAGCATTCTTCCATCATTTAAAAAAAAAAAAAAAGGAACTACTCTTTTTTTGTATCTTTCTTTCATAGTTTTCATCCAGAGCGACAATTAGCAAGAAGTTCTTGGCATTGTGTCGCTGTGTCAATATTCAAATAAAGTCTAGCAACACATCAAAACCATTCTAATAACTGGCTTTGAATCTTATAAAAGAACTCTTATTAGAGTTAAAACTGTGTACATTATTTATTTATTCCTTTGAAGAACTCCCCAGTTTTTGTAAGAATTATTGTTTGACTTGATCTCCCTCATGCCGATTTTCATTATTCATGAAAGGATATCTTTAGTTTGATGCAATTTAGTTGCAGAATACTTGGTTAACATGTATGAGTTTTCGTTCATTTTCTTCAGTCCAATGGTTGAGCAATACACTAATGCTTGATGAAGGTGGCTTGATCATATTTCACTCGAAAACTGAAAGAGAAAAAAAAAAAAAAAAAATCCCTGTTCGACTAGGTGGACCTTCACCAATAAATTTCTTCTTGGTCCATGCATGTGTAACTTTAAGAGTTTATTATTCTACTTTAACATCATAAGTTTCATTCCACAAATTGGTTGACTGCACCTGGTATCTACCAAAAATAAAACATGAATTAGACACTAGATGATCATATTCTCAAGATTTATTTTCTTCTTTCTAATAGCGACTTTTCTTCATCCATTTTTTTCTGGGTCAGTTTGGACAACTTAAAATAACACCTGAGTTCTAGTAGGTCATAGCTTCGGAAGAAAAGGTACGTTAGTTGTTTGAGTGATTCATGTGACTTTGTTAATAGTAAATATATGATGTTAGGCTAATCAAATATTAGTTGATACCGGTGCCAATAAGCACGCATGTACTTGGCTTAAGGGAAGAAAGGGTTTAGTATGAGATGTAACTGTTATATTTGTTATGTTGGACTTAAAATTTATTATTTATATAAGTTATTATTGTTGCATATGTGATTTGTTTGGCTTATATACCTTAACTTTTATTCATTATTTGAAAATCAAACCTGATATAATTGGTTTAACTGGTTGAATTAGATCTGATTTTAAAAATAGGTCAAATTATAATAATAACACGTTTGAAGTCAAATCTAATTAAAATTCACCCA